AGATCATGATATAATTGCACCAAAGCAATTGCCAGATATACTGTGTCCACATATCACCCAATACACACTGTAGGTTCCTCACGCTAGTTCATTAGGTCTCTACAGTTTCACCTCCTTGTATATAACCGAGGCAATACACACTGTAGGTTCCTCACGCTAGTTCATTAGGTCTCTACAGTTTCACCTCCTTGTATATAACCGAGGCAATACACACTGTAGGTTCCTCACGCTAGTTCATTAGGTCTCTACAGTTTCACCTCCTTGTATATAACCGAGGCAATACACACTGTAGGTTCCTCACGCTAGTTCATTAGGTCTCTACAGTTTCACCTCCTTGTATATAACCGAGGCAATACACACTGTAGGTTCCTCACGCGCTAGTTCATTAGGTCTCTACAGTTTCACCTCCTTGTATATAACTTGAGGCAATACACACTGTAGGTTCCTCACGCTAGTTCATTAGGTCTCTACAGTTTCACCTCCTTGTATATAACGAGGCAATACACACTGTAGGTTCCTCACGCTAGTTCATTAGGTCTCTACAGTTTCACCTCCTTGTATATAACCAAGGCAATACACACTGTAGGTTCCTCAGCTAGTTCATTAGGTCTCTACAGTTTCACCTCCTTGTATATAACCGAGGCAATACACACTGTAGGTTCCTCGCAGCTAGTTCATTAGGTCTCTACAGTTTCACCTCCTTGTATATAACCCGAGGCAATACACACTGTAGGGTTCCTCAGCTAGTTCATTAGGTCTCTACAGTTTCACCTCCTTGTATATATAACCCGAGGCAATACACACTGTAGGTTCCTCACGCTAGTTCATTAGGTCTCTACAGTTTCACCTCCTTGTAAATAACCGAGGCAATACACACTGTAGGTTCCTCACGCTAGTTCATTAGGTCTCTACAGTTTCACCTCCTTGTATATAACCGAGGCAATACACACTGTAGGTTCCTCACGCTAGTTCATTAGGTCTCTACAGTTTCACCTCCTTGTATATAACCGAGGCAATACACACTGTAGGTTCCTCACGCTAGTTCATTAGGTCTCTACAGTTTCACCTCCTTGTATATAACCGAGGCAAAAGTTTAATGAAAACTTGTGTGACCACTTGTTATGAAGCATAATTGACCCATGTTGTGGATTGCAGAAAAACTATGATTAATGTTTGTGGAACTTGTTTGTGGAAATGTCAAGTTGGAAATACCATATCCTTCCCCTCTGTGTTACTGCTGTAGAGTCAGGGCAAATGGCCGTGGCTTGTATTGTTCATAGGTGTTTTCACAAATAATGAAGCCACATTATTTAACTGTATTGTAGGTGGAGCTGAGGTCATTCTCAGATGAATCCTACAAATTCTGATCATAACAACTAAAATGGATCTTTCTCAACTTCTTTGTCATAAACATCCCAGTTGTTAAGATTGCCTGTCCAGACGGATTAAGATTGAAAGTGAGGCCTTCTGGACTGCTGTAATGCTGTGACTGTTTCCTGCCTGATGGCTGCTTTACGTCAGCCTGGGACAGTCCAGTGCTATACATATCACAACATCCACAGATCTAGTCAAGTCTGCATAGTTGAGATTAGATTATGAAGTCATGACACAATCAATACACAAATGGTGAAGATATGTTCCAGTAGACTCTCTTCCGTCCAACCCCTCCAACCTCTTCCAACCCCTGTCTACCCCTGCCTAACCATCTACTCCATCCACCTATTCTTTTGCAAAAACTAGTGGTATACCAGCAAACTTTCCCGTATACACCCTTACAACTTTCTCCCTATCTTTTCAACTCCTTCATAACTCATTTTACTTGCTCCATCTCTCTAATACTTCCAGCAGTCTCCATCTCCTCCATTTCTATCCCATCCAACCCTGTCTACCCCTTTCTAACCCTTCCAGCCCCCCTTTTACCTCTCTCTACCCCCTCTAGTCTCCTTCACCCCTTTCTACCCCCTTTCTATCCTCTACAGCCCCCTTTAACCTCTCTCAACCGCTTCTTGCCCCTCCACCCCTTTCTACCCCCTCCAGCCCCTTTAAACTCTCTCTACCACCTCTAGCCCCTCCCACCCCTTTCTACCTTCTCTCTAACCCCTCCAGCCCCCTTTAACCTCTCTCTACAGCTTCTAGCCCCTCCACCCCTTTCTACCCTCTAACTACCCCTCCAGCCCCCTTTAACCTCTCTGCTGCCTCTAGCCCCTTTCACGCCTTTCAACCCCCATTCTAATACCTTAGCCCCTCGGTATTTCCCTTATCCCTCGGTTTTACGTTCTCTACCAAAACCTCGGGGGCGTATTTTCTCCTATACCTAATACCTCCAGCCCCCTTTAACCTCTCTCTACCCCTCTAGCCCCCTCCACCCCTTTCTACCCTCTTACTACCCCCTCCAGCTCCCTTTACCGTTCTACCACTTTTCTAGCCCTCTTGTACCACTCTCTACCCCTCCAGCCCCAGTTTTCCAATAGAAATCCCTGTCCACTCCCTGTCAGCAATCACCTAGTTGAAGGTGTCCAAAATCACATATCTGTAATCACAAGTATTGTTATACAAACATCATTTCATACACGCCATGTGACCATCATTAGAACATTTACACTTCATGTTACCTGCATCACATCATGACACACATAATCTTACTCCATCACATCATGACACTTATCATCTTACCTGCATAACATCATGACACACATCATCATACCTGCATCACATCATGACACTTATCATCTTACCTGCATCACATCATGACACACATCATCTTACCTGCATCACATCATGACACATATCATCTTACCTGCATCACATCATGATACATATCATCTTACCTGCATCACATCATGACACATATCTTACCTGCATCACATCAAGACACTTCCATCTTACCTGCATCACATCATGATTCTTATCATCTTACCTGCATCACATCATGATACATATCATCTTACCTGCATCACATCATGACACACATAATCTTACCTGCATCACATCATGATACGTATCATCTTACCTGCATCACATCATGACACTTATCATCTTACCTACATCACATCATGACACTTATCATCTTACCTGCATCACATCATGACACATATCATCTTACCTGCATCACATCATGACACACACAATCTTACCTGCATCATCATGATACATCATCTTGATCACTTATCATCTTACCTGCATCACATCATGACACATCTTACCTGCATCACATCAATGACACACATCATCTTACCTGCATCACATCATGACACATATCATCTTACCTGCATCACATCATGACACACATCATCTTACTTCATCACATCATGACACTTATCATCTTACCTGCATCACATCATGACACACATCATCTTCCCTGCATCACATCATGACACTTATCATCTTACCTGCATCACATCATGACACATATCATCTTACTACTTCATCACATCATGACACTTATCATCTTACCTGCATCACATCATGACACACATCATCTTCCCTGCATCACATCATGACACTTATCATCTTACCTGCATCACATCATGACACATATCATCTTACCTGCATCACATCATGACACATATCATCTTACCTGCATCACATCATGACACTTATCATCTTACCTGCATCACATCATGACACATATCATCTTACCTGCATCACATCAATGACACACATCATCTTACCTGCATCACATCATGACACATATCATCTTACCTGCATCACATCATGACACACATCATCTTACTTCATCACATCACGACACTTATCATGACACACATAATCTTACCTGCATCACATCATGACACTTATCATCTTACCTGCATCACATCATGACATACATCATCTTACCTGCATCACATTATGACACTTATCATCTTACCTGCATCACATCATGACACACATAATCTTACCTGCATCACATCATGACACTTATCATCTTACCTGCATCACATCATGACACACATCATCTTCCCTGCATCACATCATGACACTTATCATCTTACCTGCATCACATCATGACACTTATCATCTTACCTGCATCACATCATGACACCTATCATCTTACCTGCATCACATCATGACACATATCATCTTACCTGCATCACATCATGACACATATCATCTTACCTGCATCACATCATGACACATATCATCTTACCTGCATCACATCATGACACATATCCTACCTGCATCAAATCCTTACACACTTCATGTAACCTTCATCACAACATCATGTTATCAACATCACAACCACTAAGTGTGTTATTCACTAGGTGTGGGCTAGAGCTGACATCCTAGCACTGCACAAGGCAGGCAATTAATGATACATCAAATACATCAAACTGTAAAACATACATCAAGGACTTGTTACAATTTGTGTCTTTTCTGCGGAAACTGTGTCACAATCTTTTTCATAGCATCTAATTAATTTTGAAAAGACAACGTACAACTGACATCATGGTATCCCAGACTGACTTGTGACTTCATTGACTCCACCATGCATCTTGTATCATTCCTTCAGTATCAGGGACACTGGTATGATCACCTGCTGCAGGTTACATTGACAGCATACAGACCACAACAAAGCACTTTCATTGTCATCATGTAGTGATGCTAGTTGCATGATGTTAAAACTACCATTTGTTATCTTCAAGTAACAACTAATTGTATCTCTATTTCATGCATTGTATTCACAAGTATAAACATACTGTGTTTAACTAACTAGTATATTTGTTATTTGAGCTATGTAAGTATGATAAGGATACAGGTAAAAGTTCTGCTTATCAACTTCCTGGTTTCATTTTCTGTTAGTAACTTCTGTATGTAGTTCTGTGACAAGGAAATGGTCTTTCAATTCAATGCAATGGAATTTTGATAAACATTAATGAGAACCAGAAATGTTGAAAGCCCTGTACTGAAGTAATCAGTGGTGAGAGAGTCTAACGTCATAACTCATTACTGGTTCTTATGTTTTCTGTATATATTCCTCATACATTGGATTGAATATTTAGCAGGTGTCAAGCAGGAACAAGATGTGCAAACTAAGCCAGTGGGTAGAGGTCGTGCTCGCGGCCGCGGTCGTGGTCGAGGTCGTGGTGACCGCTCACCTCGTCAGAGAACATTCTCCAGTGGAGATGAATCCCGGAAGGTGGAGAGACAGAAGGACCTTCTGGTGGTGAAGATTGACAACTCTGGGAAAGAGACAAACCAGTCAGTGGAAGTGGAGTACTGGGATGATGACATGATGGATGTTAAGTCCAACTCTGCTGCTTCAGTCAAGTCAGGAACCAGTTCACGTGACGGCCATTCCAATCATGCTCGTAGGCGTCGTGATGACCACCAGTTTGATGACCATGATGAAGGTCAAGATGGTGACGACAACTGTGTTGGTGGTCATCAACGTCGCCACACACACAGCCACAGTCTGGGCGATGAGAATGAGCACGATGAGTCTTGGGAAGATTGTCCGGAGGACAGTGAGTTTTATGCAGATGATGATTATGCAGATGGCGATGACAGATATAAGGAGCCTCTAAAGCTGGAGTGCAAATTGAACCCAGATGCACCAGAGTTTACTCCAACATCACCAGAGTTCATGAAGACACCGCCAGGCCATGTCAAAGTAATGGATTGGGTAACTGAGGTCAATTCAAATCTCAGCCCAACTTCACCCTCTCCGACAATGGATGGGGTAAACAATGATGAGTGTAAGAGAGCACTCTCCAAAGATAAGTCAAATAGTTCAGGAAAGAGCTCTTCTCATGGTGGAGTTACCAAATATGACACTAAAGTTACTGAAGAAGAACTTAGTGCCAGTTACATTGATGAGAAAGAAACACATGATTCTGCTGCCCCTGAAGCTTCAGAGGAATTCCTGGATGCTTCTGGAGATGTGGGAGAGGCTGAGATATCTCAGCTCTCCAGTGAGGAAGTAGGAAACAATCCTGAATCCAAATCAAGCACTGTTGGTAGCTGTGGGGATGTTGAAGATGAGACTGACCCATCTACTCAGAACACAGAGGTCAGCACAGTTCATAAAGACAAAGTTATAGATGAGGCCCAGTCAGACTCAAAGGTTGACAGGCTAAGTGAACCTGAAGGGAACAATGAAACTATTGCCAACAGTGATGGTGCTGTCGTTGAAATGAAAGAAGTTGATAGTCATATACATAGCGGGGCTGAAATATCCCTGATAGATCAACCGCTATCTTCTTGTGAAACTGGAATTTCAGCGACAGCTGCACCATTAAATCCTGCAACAGATGCAATAAGAGTAGAACCCTCATCAGTGGAACCCAAAGCAGATGCCATGGCAGTGGAACCCACAGCATCGGGAACCCACAGCAGTGGAACCCACAGCAGATGTCACGGCAGTGGAACCCACAGCAGATGTCACGGCAGTGGAACCCACGGCAGATGCCATGACAGTGGAACCCACAGCATCGGAACCCCTGACAGTGCAACCCACAGCAGTGGCTTCCACAACAGACATCACCGCAATGAATCTCACATCAGATGTTACGTCAGAGGAACCCGCAGCAGAGACTGCAAGTGAGCAGTCCACACAGCAGATGGCTAAACCAGATATGACGCCTCTGACTGATAAGTCAGACCAGTCACAATCAAATCAGTTGGTGCAGGAAAAAGGTGAGCTACTTACTTTTTCAGAAAAATGTCCTCTCTAGTTCTGTCTCATGAAATAGCCTCCATGTAAATGAGGATGCTTTAATTTTCTTCTAAATTTGACTGAACCTACTGGAAATACATGGAGAGAGATCTGGGACATATATACCTATTGTTATAGCCGCAAAATGTAGTTGCAAGGCATTCATAAGTCATATCATGTGTTACATTGAATTACACCTGGATTAGCATGATTGGTGTATATACTTAATAGGCCTTTGGAATGTTTTTTTAAATACATTTCATTGATATTGGAAATTTCATTTTTTCACTCATAAGATAATGGACTAAAAAGTATTTTTATGTTTACAATCTCAGACTGATATGGGCTGTGAGTGACTGGTGTGTGTAAGGTGAATTCAACACATTTTCAGAATGTAATACTTTAGGGCATAAATAATCAAAAAGGCTTCACCAATATTTGATTTAAAAAGGGGAAACATTTAAGACAAGACAACAAAAATTGACAGAGGAGACAAAAAATATCTGCCAGTTAGGGAACTCCCTTTTCTTGAGTTAAAACCCAAGTGTTTGATCTGCTGTGGAATTGCAACAGTCAGGACGCTGACCAGTCTGCGTGCACCTGCACATGGTGGTTGGTGAGACATTAGGGGGTAGAGGGGACATCTCACACATGACACAGTTAACTGGTGAATATCATACACTGAAAAATGTATTACCTTGTATGTTCATGATAACTCAACAAGTGTTGCATGTAGTTGGGTGAAATGTGGCACACATCCTGAGGTTTGGGCACTGAATATGGGTAAGGTTTATTAAGTCAGTTATTATAGTAGCTGAAACCATGGGGTGTTTCTATTTTTAATTGTACAGCAATTGACATTATTTTTAAACTAATGTATAATTCAGTTTTCTTACCTGAAGTTTTAAAGTGGACCCTGCATGTGACACTGTGTAAGACCTATTTTCCCAGACTAGGTGTGGTACTCTTCCTGAGGTACATACCACCTACTGTTAGAACCATGGTTGTTGGCCATTGTGTTTTCCCAACTATGTACAAGGGACTTCCTGTTTCCAGTTGTTCTACATTGGATGCATGTATTATGTTAACCCAGTGGTGATGTCAGGAAGCCAGAAGTGTTTATCACTTGTGATTAGGGAAGGTAGAGGCATACCACCACAACTGACAACACAGGGATAAAAGATGAAAAACATCTATTGGTGACGGCAGTTGGTACCTGATTTGGTAAAGTCAAATTGATTCATGAAACATAAATAATTATTCTCATGGGAAAAAATTGAGGCATTCAGAAAATGATGAGGTGGGGCCTCAAACACTTTTCTAGTTTTTGTTGAAACATTCATAGTGATTATGTGTTTAAAACTTCAGTTTGTTTGTTTACCCAGTACATGTACGTGCACTGGAGATGTGTACAGAAATCTGTTTTACTTGCATGGGCTATTGTAAGCAGTAAGATTTGTGTAGTTTTAAGTTGATATCAGACAAAGATGCTGTAAATGCTGATGAAAGATGTTTAGTCCATGTATACACCATGATCATCTACATGAGAGTGCATGTAGTGATGAAATGGCATTATCTTATTTCAGCGCCAACTGTAGACAGTGATCAGAAGAGCTCTGAATATGAGGGTGTTGTTGCTGCTGAGAGCAAAACAACAATCCCAACAACTACTACTGCAACAGCTGAAAGCTCTCATGTAAGCATAGAAAGCATGCACGGCCTCTCAGTCCGTTTCAAGCTGTCAGACATGGACTAACACTAGCATAGCTATAACTAACACCTACCGGGAGGTAAGTCCGACACGAGGGAGATGGCGACCACCATGGCTTGGGTCTGACCCACTGGGCATAGCAGGAATATCATTACATAGCTTCATCTTTGTTTTTCACATTAAGAAATTAGTTTGCTTCACCCTGTGTTTCCTGTTTGGTGATGGAGCACACTGTCGTATTCTAGTTTATTGCAATAATGATTCATATATAGCAATATGTACCACAGTATATTGCATGTTGTCTCTCATTGGTATTTGTTATCAACTGAAATAAGAATAACACACATGTTTTGAAACATTATAGTCACATATAGATTAGAAGCTGGTCTCAAGTGGTTTCACTTTCTAGATCACAGAATCAGATCCACATTTCTGAATTTCATAATATCCTTTTCATTCTCTCATGTCAACTTTACCCAGAAAATGAAATATGCATGACTTGAAAAGCCTATGGCATAAGAGATGGTTGACATTATATTGCAATATTTCTTTCCCATTATGGTTTAGAAGAAAAACTAGTGCATTTGTCAGAAATGGATGTGGATATACAGCTTGTTCAGCTTGACCTGATCAAGTGAATACTAATGCATTGCGTCTATTATTGTGAAGGGGTGTACCTTTGTCAGTTGATTATCAACATGTCTGAAAAGCCGAGACAAGGTAGCCGTTTGACATCTCAGTGTCTCAGCAATGTCCTAACTCTTTAAAAAGAAGCTACAAATGGTTTAATGTTTCCGATTCGGGCTTTTAGGCAGCAACAGCAACTGGTGTTTCCAGTCCAACCCTCAGCCGAATAGAACATGACCCCTATTTAATGAAGTGACCTCCGGGGTCATGCTCATGTGGAGTAGCTCAGGTCATGCTGAACAAGCTGTACCTCTTGATTAACAGTAATGATGGAACAGTGTTACCATGGAGACAAAGAACTCAAAGAGTGTTCTGTGTCACAGGATAAGGTGCAATCAGTGTGCCTTGATCTTACTGTGTGGCATTTTAGGAGATTGTTTTTGGAACAGTCTTTTCAAAAAGTTCCGTTAACATGCCACTATGATGAGAATCAAGGTAGGTAGCAGATGTACAGTCTGAGGCAATCATTGTGTATGCAGTTCAACTTTCTGTTGTCAATGGAGGATTTGTATTTTGTTATGAACAGTTAACTCAATGATCCCAAGTGGATTATGACCGGCTGTTGTGGAGAAGCTGGAATGCAATGTCACAGACCATTCAGTGATACCATCTCTCATTCACTTATTTACTTGTTACCATTGTTAAGTATATATTGTTTGTCCACAACCATCTTCTGAAAAGAAACAGTATAGTAGATTTGTGATATTACTACAGGTATAATTTGAATTTCAAATCAAGTTTGTGTAAGATACAGTAGCTAGAGGATGGATGAACGTGTTGTGTCAGGATATCAAGGTACACTTATAATAAAGGGTGAAGTCAGCCCTATTGTTGAACTATTGTGTCAGGATATCAAGGTACACTTGTAAAACAGGGTGAAGTCAGTCCTATTTTTGAACTATTGTGTCAGGATATCAAGGTACAGTTGTAAAACTGGGTGAAGTCAGCCCTATTGTTAAACTATTGTGTCAGGATATCAGGGTACACTTGTAAAACAGGGTGAAGTAGGCCCTATTGTTGAACTATTGTGTCAGGATATCAGGGTACACTTGTAAAACAGGGTGAAGTCAGCCCTATTGTTGAACTATTGTGTCAGGATATCAGGGTACACTTATAATAAAGGGTGAAGTCAGCTCTATTGTTGAACTATTGTGTCAGGATATCAAGGTACACTTGTAAAACAGGGTGAAGTCAGTCCTATTGTTGAACTATAGTGTCAGGATATCAAGGTACACTTGTAAAACAGGGTGAAATCAACCCTATTTTTTAACTATTGTGTCAGGATATCAAGGTACAGTTGTAAAACAGGGTGAAGTCGGCCCTATTGTTGAACTATTGTGTCAGGATATCATGGTACACTTGTAAAACAGGGTGAAGTCCAGCCCTGTTGTTGAACTATTGTGTCAGGATATCAAGGTACACTTGTAAAACAGGGTGAAGTCGGCCCTATTGTTGAACTATTGTGTCAGGATATCAAGGTACACTTGTAAAACAGGGTGAAGTCAGCCCTATTGTTGAACTATTGTGTCAGGATATCATGAAGTCAACCCTATTTTTGAACTATTGTGTCAGGATATCAAGGTACACTTGTAAAACAGGGTGAAATCAACCCTATTTTTGAACTATTGTGTCAGGATATCAAGGTACACTTGTAAAACAGGGTGAAGTCAGCCCTATTGTTGAACTATTGTGTCAGGATATCAAGGTACACTTGTAAAACCTATCAACCCTATTGAAACTATTGTGTCAGGATATCAAGGTACACTTGTAAAACAGGGTGAAGTCAACCCTATTATTAAACATGTATTCTGTCAGGATATCAGGGTACACTTGTTAAACAGGGTGAAGTCAGCCCTATTGTTGAACTATTGTGTCAGGATATCAAGGTACACTTGTTAAACAGGGTGAAGTCAGCCCCTATTGTTGATTCAGGATCTCAGGGTACACTTGTTAAACAGGAAGTCAGCCCCTATGAATATCAACCACTATTGTTGAACTATTGTGTCAGGATGTGTCAGGATATCAAGGTACACTTGTAAAACAGGGTGAAGTCCAGTTGAACTATTGTTGAACTATTGTGTCAGGATATCAAGGATATCACTTGTAAAACACAAGGGTGAAGTCAGCCCTATTGTTGAACTATTGTGTCAGCCCCTATGAAGTCAGCCCTTTGTTGAACTATTGTGTCAGGATATCAAGGGTACACTTGTAAAACAGGGTGAAGTCAGCCCTGTTGTTGAACTATTGTGTCAGGATATCAAGGTACACTTATAATAAAGGGTGAAGTCAGCATTGTTGAACTTTGTGTCAGGATATCAAACAGGGTGAAGTCCAGCCCTAGTTGAACTATTGTGTCAGGATATCAAGGTACACTTGTAAAACAGGGTGAAGTCGGCCCTATTGTTGAACTATTGTGTCAGGATATCAAGGTACACTTGTAAAACAGGGTGAAGTCAGCCCTATTGTTGAACTATTGTGTCAGGATATCAAGGTACACTTGTAAAACAGGGTGAAGTCCAGCCCTGTTGTTGAACTATTGTGTCAGGATATCAAGGTACACTTGTAAAACAGGGTGAAGTCGGCCCTATTGTTGAACTATTGTGTCAGGATATCAGGGTACACTTGTAAAACAGGGTGAAGTCAGCCCTATTGTTGAACTATTGTGTCAGGATATCAGGGTACACTTGTAAAACAGGCTGAAGTCCAGCCCTGTTGTTCTAGCATTTTACACTTTCAGGCTAAGTCACTGTTCTAGCATTTTTCTGCCTGTACGTCTGCCTGGAGAGCGGACGGTCGCGGGTTTGATCCCCGGCTGCACCATACTAAAAACACGTTAAAACATGGTACTTGTTGGTCCCTGCCTGGCACGGGGCATTAATGGGTACAACAAGGACTGGTCGTCTCGGAGTCAGTATAATGTGTCTGGGTGGGGTGTTCATGCTTAACTGCAGTATGGTATCTCAGTGAGCTAGCACTATAAAACCAGCTTAATTGCTTGTATGAGGTGAAACATTCGCACAAGAGACATGTTAAACTTTCCATTAAAGGCGGACAAAATCATGGTCCTCTATGGGGATGTAATGGTTCTATATATGTCTCCCTGTTGACAAACTCCAGTCAGATGAGAACCTGGTGTGTAGTGTCCACCTGGTGGAAACGCCCGTCAGCTGCAGCTGTGTTCTTCATGTCAACATCTCTCACTTGTTTTTCCAGGTTGAGTAAGGACCTTGCAGAGGAAGACCTGGCGTTTCAACATGACAGTTTTCACATCACCCTTTCGACAACATATCCGCCCTGTTTTAGGGAAAATCACAACCAAAAAGATGTCCATGTTTTTCATTTCATTTCATCCAGTCAGCATTATGTTGTTTCAATGTCATGTCAGGTTTTAAGTAAATCTTAGATTTGCAAAAAGTGAAAAGTTGTTTCATATTAGAGATTTTGATCTGATTCCAAGATACCATGGAACCTGGGGTGAGTCCATGTGCCAGTTGTGAGGATAGCAGATCCTCCTTCCCATAGTGGGCTAAGTAAGTCTGACATGACGAGTGCAGTCTCTAAGCACAGGATTGTTCGTCACCTGTATAGTGCTGTCGCCGCCGCAATGTGTCTTATTGAGGTACTTTCTCACTTGTCTAGTGTTAACAGGTGCTCTGATACTCAGTATGTTTTTATTGACCTATGGTGCAAACCTGAGGTGTTTTCCTTTTAATATATTATGTGTGCCAGGCAGTGAAAAATGTATTAGTTGCTACGATGAAGTTTGTCATTTCGTTCGTACATTGATATTTGAGACTGCTATCTACCAGAAGCGATAGTATTTAGTTTTGATGGCTGGGCAACAGCCAGCATTTTAGCTACTGCCCTTTGTGAGACAGTGTTGTGAGTATAGTAGTTTGTGCTTGTGTTTGATATTGAATTGTAAATATTCACAGCTGCTGTTTGTTTTTCTGTGCTCATCCTGCATATTTGAAATTGTGTGTTTCATTTACAACATGTTTATGAATAGACTTTGGTCAGCTGTACTTAATTTATGCAATTTTATGCAAACACTTATAGATGTACTCCCCATATTTCATTGTAGTCTTGTTTACTGCTACTGGTTATTGTAATTATTTTGCATTCTGTCATGGGAGGCTATTCTTCCACAGACACCTTGTAAGAATGAAAAGGTTATTTTAAGTCATAGATCAATTCATAATATTCCATCTGTCAAATTCATTATACAGTCACTTGTTATTTATTGACAACTATACATTGTCCTTCATATTTATGTATTTTGTGCAATCATATTCACTGTTATCGCATTTAGGATGTGAAAACTCCACTTGTATAGGAATCTTGTGTACAAAGTCTGACTGAAGTACACCACCCTGCCCCACAACATGGGGGCAACAGAGGGGCAAGTCTGACTGAAGTACACCACCCTGCCCCACAACATGGGGGCAACAGAGGGGCAAGTCTGACTGAAGTACACCACCCTGCCCCATGGCATGGAGGCAACAGAGGGGCAAGTCTGACTGAAGTACACCACCCTGTCCCACAACATGGGGGCAACAGAGGGGCAAGTCTGACTGAAGTACACCACCCTGTCCCACAACATGGGGGCAACAGAGGGGCAAGTCTGACTGAAGTACACCACCCTGCCCCACAACATGGGGGCAACAGAGGGGCAAGTCTGACTGAAGTACACCACCCTGCCCCATGGCATGGAGGCAACAGAGGGGCAAGTCTGACTGAAGTACACCACCCTGCCCCACAACATGCGGACAAAGGATGGGCAAGTCTGGGTGTACAACATGCACCAACACAACACTCACTGAAAAGGTTTTATTTATTTATCATTCTGTTTTATTATTACAAAAGTATAGCATATTGATTTGAAATGTTTTAGTCAAGTAAGAGGTTGATTTAGAGAAAGGAATGTAATTATACTACTCTACATTTGCTAAGGACCACATGATCATAGATTGCTTTTGGTGCTTAGAAAATGTTGAGTAGTATATTTGCCGAGTTTGAATGTTTGGTGCTCTAGATCATAGATAATCCCAGTTAAGCATTAATAGAGTATCCTAATGAATCAGTATTTATATTCTTTGATAGATCAATTTCCTGCTTTTCTTATACACTGAATATTGTTGTTGATGAATGACATCTGGATGTTTAAATTGTCATCGGTGGAGATTTGGATCTGAGCTCAGGGGAACATGGGGCTCACTAAGGAGACAGCCATTATTTTTAACTAGATAATAAACTTCGTAACTTTGGAATGTTTATGCAGTATTAATAATCTTTGTATATTAGCATTAGCATGTGTTGATATGTGGGAATATACAAAATACAAACATAAACCAGAAATGTTACAAAAATACTTAGTTTGTATGTATTGTGTCAGCCATGTTTTAATCAGTTTTATGTGCTGGGAACATTCCCAAGTCTTCAGTCTTGGCTTACTGGGCTAGAGAATGCACAACACTGTTAACAATAAGACCTACTGGAAAAAGTGAAACGCTTCAAAGTTTTAAGATTTTATTGAAATGAATTTTAAAAGAGAATAAATTTTGTACAAAGACTTGAGATGGTGTTTTCATCAGATCGTTTACGTTTAAGACCTGCATTACATTGTGCTTTCTTCACATATTTACCACATGTTGTAAGTTGACACTTGATGATGGTATTAATCCCAACAAGCTGGTTCCACTGACAAAAGAATTTGGAACTGAAACTATGTTGTCAGCTGAATATCCTTTCATATAGCTATCTGCATATTTTACATCTCAGAAACACATTTAAACTCATTCCACAATCATGTCTCTCAAATGTTCTTACCAAAATGTTTTAAGGTTAACATTAAAGTCGTGACCAGCATATTGAACTTGTACATTTTGTAGACATCTCCGTGATTTGGGTAGAAAATTTGAGATGCAGTGAGTATGTGTTTCACACAGTAACACATTGTGTGGGAAGTTATTACCGTAACTTCATCCCTTCTGAATTCATCCCTTCTGAATTCATACTGCCGCAATCAAGGGTGATTTAGGAATAAATATACCAAATTTTGTGTTATCAAAATTTTGTTCATTGATGTGGTGAGGTGGTCTTGTTTGCCGACTTGCTGTTGAAGCATTTCGTTGGATCCGACTTGGATTGTCTGATGCAGGCTCAATTATTAGCAGGCAATTTATGTACAGCTGAAATATTGTCGTGTGCAGCAGTAAACAAGAAAACTTAGCAAACGTTTAACATGACAGATTTCATAGAAGTAAACCCGGATGTTTAGGGACTTCATGACCTACGGTCTCGGGATGTGGCCAAGTTTAAGAAATCTTCCCACCTTGTCTTCCTCTGGTGGGAGGGGTGGTGGGGTAGCCTTGTGGTTAAAGCGTTCGCTCGTCATGCTGAAGACGGGGGTTCGATTCCCCACATGGGTACAATGTGTGAAGCCCATATCTGGTTCCCCCGTGTGATATTGCTGGAATATTGCTAAAAGCTGCATAAAACCATACTTCTCTGGTGGGGAAGAAGGGGCAGGGACTAGCAAGAATAATTGCATGATAGGGATACCTAATGTCACAAATCATGTGACAAGATAGCCACAACATTGGGTGAGCTAGCTATTTAACACCCATCTGAGGTTGAATGTCATGAACAACGAAACACATGTACGCACCTGTGCCACTGTAAAATTATGAAATTTCCCCACGCTTCTGTTAAAGGAGATAACTCCTGTGGAAAGCGCTTGGAGGACCCAGTAGGAAGAAGGACAATACCAAATATGGAAATGTATTCAAGCCAAACCTGTGGATTCAGAAACAAGTTTCAGTGCAGAGGCAATCAGGTGTTGAATGTAATTTTCTAAGGATTATTATAAGATAATAAATATTGAAAATGTTCTAAGAATCAGTCAGTCAATCAAAAGTAGTATCGTTAAGGCTGAAATCTGGTGTCCACCATCAAATTACATATGTGTTTCGTGACAGTCCATGATACCCGTTTAGGGTGTGAGTGAATGACGAATGAATAATACAACGGATCCAAAGATGGTGTTTCTTAGACATTATAGATAGCTTTGATATATAAATCATAGTCGTGTCTCGATGTCGGCCACATATACTGGAACTTCTCCCAGACATCAGATCCTTACAGCATGTAACGAGTATAGCAATGAAAATTGCAGGAATGGATCGGTGATGACATCGGTGGAAAAGGTAACCATGCCCTGTCGTTGCGGGAGCAAGCACCGCTCACATTGCTTGCATACTAATTTATAACTCAATAAAAGAATCGCATAGGTGATTTTCCCCCCATATATTTATGAGTGCAAAGAGAGGCGTTCCAGAACAATTACAATCAAAGCATTGTTACACATGTTGAGATCATTAAGGGGAGAAAAAAGCGGTGTGCCAAACATTTTACAAGAAGACGGGTCAAAGATTGTCAGAAACGGTTATGTCCACAATTAGCGCTAGTCTGGCTCAGTCTTCCCAAAGGCAGACACAGTTCAAAGCATTGTTACACATGTTGAGTTTCATAAAAGGAAGAGGCTGTGTGGAAGAAATACAAGGAGACAGGTCAAGGTCGAAGATTGTAAGAAACGGGTATGACCACCGTTAGAGCTGATGATTGTCTGGCACAGTCTTCCCAAAGACTCCATCAGATTCCGGATTACACGTTTTGATAATGTTCCGATACATATACCCCAAAGACTGGAACAGATGATGAGATATGTGCCTGAAGATGGCGTCGTTGCACAAATCGATATTGTTCAACCCATTAATGTCCAATTAGGGTCAGATCTTGTGATCCCTGGTGATATCATGGATATGGAAGAATGTTGAAATGTGGTTAATCTTGCGGTATGGGGTTGGGAAATGTTACCACGCACACATGACCCTTGACAACAGACCGACCATGATGTCTGCTACTCGCAGAGTAGACGAAAACGAAAACAAACATCTGGTCTATTTTGAAGTATCACCTTCGTATCCCTTTTAGAGTGGGAGTAGTGTCATCTTAATTTGATAACCTTTAAAAATTTATGGACTCTATAAACTCATTCAAGCACAATATATTTGTGTTAGATACACTGGTCTCTAATATTTGTCTTTATATAAGGGCAGACTATACTGTTGTTTCGTTGATCTTAATGCTACATTGGATTCCATCAATAGAACAAGTTTGATGTATAAACTTTGGACTGGCAATGTCAAAGGTAATATTTAGATTGATTAGAAATATGTACCCAAATATTCAATGATGTATATCATTGCAAGGTGGCTACACACAACTGTTTGACCGTGTGTGCCGAATAAAACAGGGTTGCCAACTATCACCACTGCTATTTTCATTGTATGTTAATGATATTACTGAATTTCTTGGTGTTGGTGAAGATAGATGCATTGGCTTTGACATCTGTCGACTTTTCGTGTTACTCTTGACCGATGATATATGACTGTGTGATAGCACTGTCCGAGGTGGTCTTTAAAGTGGTCTTTAACCGTCAGTATTATTTAAAATAAATGTATGGTTTTCAGGAAAGGTGGTAGATTAAAGAAATACGAAAAACATTACTTTAATGATACCCAAATAGAAATTGTGTATTACAAGTGTTCATTTCATGTGAGTGTTCATTTCTCGTGCAGTGGGTCATGGCATATAACAAAAAAAACACCTTTGTCATATCCAGAAAGCGGTAAATATATTACTTTCCCAACTATCAAATTTCAGAAAGTTAACATTATCTGTTCTTCTCAACATCTTTGACCACAAAGTATTCCCTACTTAAGCTTGCGGCTCAGAACTTTATGGATGTTTATCTATCAAAACTAGACAATATATAACAATTGTACAATATTGGACACGGTTATTGTACCAAAAGGATAATGGAATATTACACCACCCATACCGTTATCAATATAAACTAACATACGTTGGTAGACAATGTTGAGCCCATAATGTAAAGCAATTGTTAAATAAATATGGTTTTAGTTATGGTTTCCCCCCGACCGACCGACCGACCGACCGACCGACCGACCGACCCATCTTCAGATTTGGTGGATACGTGGAAAGCACTAAAAAATGATGCCCGTATGACGGTGTCAGCGGGACCTTCATTCAAGAATCATAGCACACAAAGTGATTCGTCACTGAAAACGAAACCATCCAATCTACCCAATGGCAAGTTCTGAGGGTTTAGACACCACTATCTACATTTCTAGGACAGTCGTGAACCAGATGTGTGCAGAAACTGAAATCAGAATTGACCACACTCACTTTCAGAGCATGACAGATTCAATGTGATCGTACCCGTGAAGGTCCGGGTTAGAATATTGATCTTCAGTAACCCATGCTTGTCGTAAGAGGCGAATAACGGAATCGGGTGGTCAGGCTCGCTGAC